AACAGAGCAGGGGATATCTTGTGGCAAGTCAGAGGGAGTATGTCAACACAGGCCGCCCTTCTTATAATCCCATCCTGCCCTCCACCCCAACCTTGTGTTTTCCCAATGATCTCCCAGAGGCCCCTCTTCCAAATATCATTAACATCATATGAATTTGGGATTAAGTTTCTAACACCCAGACCCTTAAGGGATACCTAAACCAGAGCTCGTGGTTAGGTAGTGAGAAGCAGAGAAATGCACGGCAAGGTCACAGTGTTCTTTCAATTACTTTCGGGACTTTAAACTGCTTTCAGAGTGGCTGAGAGAGCAAAGGGTGTTGGTTCATTTGTAGAAAATAAACAGAAGAAGCAAAGGAACTAAGGGGAAAATGAGCCCAAAGACAAGGATTAATGGGACTAACTCTTGACAGGGCCCACTGAGGGTGGTGTGAAGCTAGGAATCCGGCTTCTAGGTGTCTCCACCTGTCTGGGAAGGAAGATTCCTTTAGCAGCGCAGGTGCACTGAGGTAACTTCTGACCAGCTGTTGACCCAGCGCCCACGTTAACATGGGACTAACTCATGAATGAAAACCTCCCAAACAAGATGGCCACTGCGAGGGTTCCAGAGAGGACCAACTAAGACCAAAACTCCATCACCTGACATGAAGGAGGCGGTGAATACCTGATGGGTGAAGGTTGCTGAAGGCGATCCCTAGTTCTCCTGGTAAACACCAAACAGTAATAGGTTTGGAGGCAGCTATTACATTTCAAGTGGCTTTTGTTTGTTTGGGGCTTTATTTTTATTTTTATCCTTTTTTTTGGTACCATCTCTGCCCAGAGCTGCCCCCCCACCTCTCTGGTGCTCTCTGCTGGGGACTCACTTTGCTTTAACTTTTTTACTTATAATGAAGTCCTCTTGCATGGCTGGTGGTGTCTGACTTTACATTTTCTTTCGTCGGAACACAAGAACTACTCTTTTGGAGTTTCAGCTCTTTGCTTTCCTGTAACTGCAGGACTTAGACCCCTGCTTCGGGAAAGCACATTTGAGAGGAAGAGAGAGGAAGCTATATCCTTAAGGAAGTGGGGAGGTCCTGAAATATAAAGCAAGACAACTGGAAGTTTTCATTCTGAATTTTTCCCTCCAGGTCACTTTTTAACCTCTATTCTCTATGTCTTCTTCTCACCTCTCGTTGCCATTGAACTAGACTCTGTGCTTCTGATCTGCATGAGAGGAGACCAAAGAGCCTCAGCAAGGATATGGGAAGCCACAGATGGGAGCAGAGAGGGGAAGGGGAATTATATCCACTGACCACAGATGAGCTGGCCCAAGGCAATGCCCTTGGGTATGTTAGCTCTTTTCCATCCCTTTTGGAACCTGAGATAAAAGAGGAAATCACCAATACCAATTATGTGTTTAAAATGTCAACATTTTTGTTTATAATGAAATTTTTGCATAAGTTTTGACTTTTTAAAAAGTGTTGCTTTGAGCTGGGTGTGGTGGTGCCTGCCTGTAGTCCTATCTACACAGGAGGAAGATCACTTCAGCCCCCAAGTTCAAGACCATCTTGGGCAACACAATGAGGACCCATTTCAAAATAAATAAATAAATAAACCCCACTTCTCCCCAACACCCCAAGACCCAAAAACATCCACACAGAGAAAAAGAAAAATACTGTATTAAAATTTTATCTGTATTCACTATTGATATTTTTAGCTTCCCTTCAAATGTGCATTTGACTCTCTTGCCTCACCTCAGTCCCTGCCCCCAAAAGATTTAGCCCAGGAATAGAGCTGATTACTTTAGGATTTTTAGGAAAAACTAGAAGCTCTAAAAAGAGTTAAAGCCCGTGTTTTTTTTAACACAACTACAATTCTACTAAAAGCATTGGAAGAAAGAATGAAATTCTCCATTACAAAAATCAACCCGATTTTAGACAATTCAAATCCTTTATCTGCGAACAAAGCCAGGGTACTTCACCTTCCTGGCCACCAGGTGTCTCTCTAAACTCCCTGCAGATCTGCGTAGGGCACAGAAGGTATGGTCATGTGTGAAATCCGCTGTTTTCAATCAGTTCTAAAGAGATAGTACCAAAAGAAAAAAAATAAAAAAATAAAAACCAAACAAACAAAAGCCGCTTAAAATGTAACAGCCTCAGATATCAAATCTACAAAGATCCAGGATTTCTCTCTAATAGCCAATTGCTTATGATGATAAAATCTATTAACTGATTTAAGCTAAGAAACAGATTAACAAATCAGTTTGTCCTAATTGATATATTTTCTAGAATATCCCTGCTTCCTTCCTTCCCCCATTCCTTGGCCAGATTGTTTTCTACAATAATAGTATATTCCAGGAGGGTCTCAGAGAAATTAAATATTCCCCTGGTTTGGGGGACTAGATGTCACCCACTGTTTCAGGAAAGGGAGTTTTGAAAACAATCATCAAACCATTTGTTTATGTTCATAAAGATAATTGTGGGGCTGCAGTCATAGCTCAGTGGTAGAGCACTTGCCTAGCATGTGTGAGGCACTGGGTTTGATCCTCAGCACTACATAAAAATAATAAATAAAATGAAGGTTTTGTGTCCTTCTATAACAAACAAACAAACAAGCAAATAAATAGAAAGAAAGAAAAGAAAAAAGATAATTGCATGGCAAAGGCCCAAACAGAGTGGTGGGCCAGTTGTGTTGTTCTTTAAACCTAAGTTATCATCCATTCACTTCATGCCCTCAACACCCTGGAAGGACCACAGATCCTTCCAGTAAGGGCCCAAAACTGACTCTGGGAGAGACCTCTTTGATGTTGCTCCTTCAGCTTCTCCAGCCCCCCTAAGACAGCCTCCATCCCCTTTAGAATGGCTCCTCATAGTAACCTCAGCCAGAACAACGTGGGGGCCCACCACTCAGTGCTCACCACCCACTTGTCAGTACACCAGGGGGATCTGCCAGAAATCATCCCTGAATGGTCATTTCTCTGGATTTCCATGCTGGTAAAACTCTTCCTAACGTTCCCAGGCAAATCCTCCTCCTCTACCCACTCCCTCAGGGTTGGATTTCTCAGATTCAGTCCCAGATTCTCTTTTTTTGTTCAATATTGCAGAAAATCTTAGCCCTCCTGAGGGAGCCTCAGACTATAAGGAGAGAGGGGGCAAAGGTGGGTTCAAAGATGATGTCAATTGCCGCCCCAAAGAGGAGGGCTAAGGGCAGACTTGATCTCTCATCTCTAGATAGATACATCTGTGCTGAGAGATGCATGATGTGAGTTGTCCTAAAATCTTACCTTTTGTTTTATTAGTCATGTGTATATTATATAAATGGAGAGCTGCAGACGGTTGAAAGAATGCTAATCACTTCATTCCCTGAGGAGAAGGTCCTGCTGACTTTCTTCTAGCAGATCTCACACGTCGAGTTTCCTGCCAAGGCAAGACTCCAGGTTCCTTTTCCCTGGAGTCACCTCCCCCAATCTCTGTGTGCTAGTCTGTCCAGTCGTGTGCTCACGGCCTCTTTTCCAGCCTGTGAATCCCGGTCAGTGGAGACAACATGGTCTTTATACCCCTAGGAAGCTTCTCGTGCTATGCCCTTTGCCGGGAGCAGGCCTGGCCACATCGCACGGACACAGAGCACCTGGCTCTCTCTCCCTTGTGAGCCCAGGATCATTGTCACTGTGCTGAGTCCCAGAAGCAGTGATCTCCACCCTGCTCAGGTCACCTTCTGTGCTCTGCAAACACAAACTTAGAAGGACAGAAACTCCCCTCCGGGTGGAGGTTTGGGGCAAATCTTGATGCACTGCTTCCTTGCAGGACAAATCAGGAGAGAACACAATGAAGAGACACACCTACAATGTAGATCTCAATATACATCATGCCACTTACCCTTTACGAAATCCATGAACTGAAAATAACAAAGGCCCAGCAAAGTAATATTTTTAACTTTAAAAAAAATTTGATATATAAACTGATATATAAAACATGAAATTGTACAGACTAATGGGTACCGTCTGATCTTTCTATATATGTATACATCGTGTACTGTTTGTGAAAATTGTCATCATCATGGGGTGACCTTTCCACATATGTAAATGTTGCATAATGTTTAAATCAGGTTAAACATATCTATCTTCTCAATCACCTATCATTCCTTCATGTTAAAACATCCAGTGTCCTTTCGTCTAGCTTTTTGAGGTATACAGTAAATAATTGTTATCTGTGGTTACCCACCTGGGGGAACACTGCCCCAGATTTTCTTTTTTTCATTATTTTATTTTATTTTTCTGTGTGTTGGGGGGGGGGTCTGGGGATTGAACCAAAGGACACTCTACCACTGAGTTACATCCCCAGCCTTTTTTTTTTTTTTTTTTTGAGACAAGGTCTTGCTGAGTTGCTGGGGCTGGCCTTGAACTTGTGATCCTCCTGCTTCAGTCCCTTGAGGAGCCGGCATTGCCATGTGCTGAAAGCCCCAGCTGCAGAGGCAGGTTTATTTATAGCGCCTGGCACCCCAGAGCTTCTTACTCCTACTTCTCTGGCTTAGCACCCATTGATCAACCTCTCTGCCTCCCTCCTTCTCCATCCCTATTTTTTTTTACATGGAGGACCAGCAAAGCTTCATAATTAAGAGACGCAGAAAGAATTCTGGACCCAGACTGTCTGGGTTCCAATCTTGGAACTGCCACTTTTCAGCCGAGAGGCCAACGCTCAGTCATTTAAGCCCCTGTTTATGTTTCCTCATGGGTGAAGGAAGCAGGAAGGATACACCAGGAGGTCGTTCTGGGGAGTGAAGGAGGGGAGAGACATAAAGAGCTTAAAGCGGTGACTGCATCCCTAAGAGGAGGTAGCTCGGGCCCCCCAGGTCTGGTGACCTATCAGAGACGCCCGACTTGCTCTGGGACCCAGGGCTCCGATGCATCTCATTTCCCCCTGATCCGACCACTCTCCCTGTCCTCTGCTGGAGCTCCCCAGCGGTCAGCTCTGCAGGTGTGATGTGCCCTCGGGCCAGCCCTCCTCCTGTTTCCATGGCTGCACCTCTTTCCCGTGTTACTGAAAGCCCCGGCTGCAGAGGCAGGTTTATTTATAGATGGGAAATTAGAGTTATTTAGCTTGAGCTCTTTGCAACCAGCAGCCCATGACTGTAGGAGCATCCACATCCACTGCACCATCGTCTGATCCCCCCGCACCCTGTAATCATTAATTAGACACTCAAAACCATGCCCACTGGATGTCTGTGGAGAGAGAAGCCCCATCCAGCCCTTTTCCATCAGAAACCAGAGTCTTCCGAGCTCAGACTCCCACACACCAACTACTTACTAGAGAGTTCTGCCTGGAGATTTCGCAATCCCGTTAGATGCGGCCAAGAGTGAACTCACTCACAACCCCCAACCTCTTCCTGATTGTGGTGAATGGAGCCAGCATTCCCCAGACTCCAATCTGGAGAGCTGTCCTGGCCTCCCTGCATCCCATCTGTCGCCATCAGCTAGATCCACAGTGCTCCTCTCATCTCCTCTGATGCAGGACAAGGTACTGCGCCCTGGGCCCTGCACATCCCCTGGGTCCTGATCCCTTTTCAAGCTCTAATCCCACCCTCACATTGTCATTGCTTAGATCTTTTAAAGTCTGACCATGTTACAGCCCCATCCACTTGAGATCCTTCCACGTTCCCCACTATCCATATGATGAATCACTTCTCTAAAACGTGGCATTCAAGGTTTTTCATATCCTCACTTCACCTCCTGCCACCCCCACAGAGCTGTCATAACAAGGTAGATTTGTTATCTGTCCTCTTTTGTGCCTCTGAGCTGTTGTCCTGGGAACACTCGATCCCTCTTTGCCCAACTAGTGACTAATTTCTCTTTCAAGACTCACTTGGAAAATCACCTCTCAAGGAAGCCTTTTCCAACCTTTCCCTCTCAGGCAGAATTCTGCACGTCCTCCTATGTTCTTGAAGTTTCTGGAACACAGGTCTTTGATGCCTGTCCTCTTGGTGAGTAACAGCACTTACTAGCTTGTCTCCCCAGCCACGCTGAACACTGCCAGATGCTCTATTTGTCCTGGTATCCCAGTGCCTAGCATACAAGAGGTGCCAAATAAAGGCTCATAAAATACATGATGGTAGTGGCAAGAGCCAGGCCTGTGAAGGTCCCCCAAGGACTGGTGGGCCTCATCCCGGGCCACCTCGCCCCTCAGGCAGTCTTGGATGGTGGCAGCTGGGTCTAACCATACTGGGCCCTCCCTGGAGGGCAACCTGGGCAGGGAGATGAAGCAAACCAGACCCAAGTGCACCGGGCAGAGACGCCAGCTTGTCCCCAGGCCCAACAGTGTCTCAGCTTGCCCAGGCAGATCCCTGTTTGGCCTAGCAGCTGACAGACTGAGTCAGGACGGAAGAAGCCGGGTGAGTTCAGAGTCCACCTTTGACCTGCTACATCCATGGGACCGCCAGGCAGAGTGTGGGGGGGGGGAGGCGCTGAGCTGTGACACCAAAGAGGTCCAGGCTCAACTCACCCCAGGCTGCAGGCTGGGGGTGGGGGCTGGGGGTGGGAATGTGGTCATGTTTTTGATGAAAACATTTTTAGATAAAAATTAAAACCTTTTCCTAGTGTCTCAGTACAAACGGGCGCTAGGAAGTAAGTTCTGATCAGAATCCTGCTGCTGAATCCACTCACACTGCAAATATCTGCAGAGAGCCTGAGCACAGAGGGGGCCACCTTCCTTTAAGGTGCTTATGGACTATTGGGAGGAGAAAGTGAATGCTAAGAAAATTCAAATAACAGTGAAAGGGTTAAAGGAGTAATATAAGAAGAAGCTGGTCATGGTGGGGCACGCCTGGAGTCCCAGCGACTCAGGAGGCTGAGGCAGGAGGATTGCAAATTCAAAGCCAGCTTCAGCAACAGCAAGGCGCTAAGCAACTCAGCGAGACCCTGTCTCTAAATAAAATGCAAAAGAGGGCTGGGGATGTGGCTCAGTGGGTGAGTGCCTCTGAATTTAATCCCCAGTACCAAAAGAAGAAGGAGAAGGAGAAGACGACGAAGAAGAAGACGTAATAAAAGAAGAGTGTACCTTAGAGGGCTGACTGGCTGACAAATGGGCCCCGAGGGTGAACTGACCAGGAGAAGGCACAGACTGTGCGGATCCCTTGTGTTAGTCTGTTTTGTGTTGCTACAACAAGACACCTGAGACAGGACAAGTTACAAAGAAAAGAGGTTTATTTAGCTTCCAGGTCTAGAACTCCACACCTGTTAAGGGTCACATGTTCTATCATAACATGGGGGATGGCATCATATGGGGAGAATACTTACAAGGGGATAGGGGAGAGGTCAGACAGTGAGAGAAGAAAAGAGAGAATGAGCCAAGAAAGCAGAACTCCATAACAACCTGTTTTCATGGCCCACAAGACCTAACCCAGTCCTGAGAGACAACCATTAATCCCCCCCAAAGATGCTGCCCTTTGATTGAATTATCTCCTAGGAGGTCCCACCTCTTAAGGGTTCTACCACCTCTCGGTGGCATTGCCTTGGGGACCAAGCGTCTATCACGTTAACCACATCCAAGCCATAGCCGTCTCCTGGTTCCTTCATCCTCCGGGTGCCTGTCGTTTTTACGGTGGCTGGGGTGGGTCAGACCCTCGAGCTGCATGAGTGCAGTGTGGGGCGGTGGTTCAGGGGGTTGGAGGTAAAGTAATCTCTTCATCATCTGGCGTGGAAAGTTCTTGCCCTCCTGACCCCCGTAAGGCCAGAGCCTCTGATTATTTCCCTTGAGCCGTGAGAAAGTCTGGGGTAGCTGAGGTCAGAGGCAGCAAACTCAGGTTGTTACCCCCAGAGCCCAGACTGTCTCCTTCACTCATTAATTACAGTTTATTTTGTTTTTTTCTTGCTGTGCTAGGGATGAACCCAGGGCCTCACTGCTGTCAGGCAAGCCTCCACCACCCAGCTACATCCCCAGCCTCCTTTTTTTGTTTGTTTTTAATGCAAAAGACAACCACTAGGGGGCCAAGCTCTGCCCCTTATTTTTGAAGCCACATGCCTCTCCTTGCTGAAAAATACAGTCTAAATCAATAAAATGTGCATGGTGGGCTGAGAGCAGTCCTTTCTGCACCTTGTGCAAACTCTCAGTGAAGAACGCATCTTTCTTGAGGCCCAGCCTCCCAGCCCATCCTCCACAGCCCACCAGGCTGGGCCAAGGGTTTCTTAGCCCTGATTTCATTTTCTGGTGTTTCTGCCTGATTAAAAGCCCTCTGGCTCGGCAGAATTATCTATAATGATAGTAAATGGCTCCTACAATGACGATGCAATCTTTTCACATCTTGAGCTGCAATCTATCCTGCAAGGTCTTGCCACCCCCCATGCACAGCCCTGGATTCTGAGCAAAGCCCTTGGGAGGTTGGTTTGGGCTCCCTCCCCGCTCAGTTTCCCACACCTTAGGCCAAAACTTGAATTTCTATTATGCGGTATCCACCTACAGCAATCCTCATTCAAATCAATCATTCATCTGCCAAAATAAAAAAATTAAAAAAATAATTCTCAGGCCCCTATATGCCTCTGGGGTCATGGTAACGCAAGTCCCCCGTGACCAAAACTGGGTGGCAGAGCTTGTTGCTCCTTAGCAGGAGTCTGCTTTCGCAAGGGCTCCTCTCTTGCAGTTTCTCTGAGCCACTCACTCTCCAGCAACAATGGAAATGAACGCGATTTCCCAAGCGCGTTGCCTTAGAAACCACTCCTTGTTTCTGAAACTAATTTAAACATGAAAATTCAGCTCCTGACTCATGCCAGGAAAGAGCGTCATGGTTTTCTCAGTATTTTACTTTCTTTTTCTTTCACATCACAAAATAATGTATGCTTATTGCAGAAACATCGAAAAAAAATATATGAAAATATAAAGGTCCAGAAAGCAAAGATTCTTCCCTAATCTTGCTATTAGAGGTTGTAACCACTGTTGTCCTTTGGGAATATTTCTACCAGGCTCCCCTCCCTGCCTTTTTTCCTCTATGCATTTTAATCTTCATTGAGATTAATACTGATTTGACATTAAGATTAATACTGAATTTACTTAGCATGCTATCAGCATTTTCCCATCTGTCCAAATTTTTCAGACACTTTATTTTTTTAAAGGCTGCATTATAAAACAGGGCATATTTCTTCATTTACTTAACCATTCTCGGAAGCCTAGACATTTAGGTTAGTCCCAATCTTTCACCGTGGTAAATCCTGTCATGTTCCTCTCGGTTCAAAATATTTATTGTATCTCTGTTCTTCAAGATAAAAAATGGTAAGATGAGTTTCAAAGATCCCGAGTATGTTTAAATCGATTTTTTAAAAACTCGAACAAATACATGTTTAAATTTTCTAAAAGAAATGTAACCAGTACATTAAAAAGTAAATTACTGCCAGGCACGGAGGCGCGCGCCTGTAATCCCAGCAGTTTGGGAGGCTGAGGCAGAGGATCCCAAGTTCAAAGCCAGCCCCAGCAACTTGGCAAGGGCTTAAACAACTTAGCAAGACCCCGTCTCTAAATAAAATATAAAAAAAGAGCTAAGGGGCTGGGGTCGTGGCTCAGTGGTAGAACACTCACCTAGCACATGTGAGGCACTGGTTTTGATCCTCAGCACCACAATAAATAAATTAAAATGAAGGTATTGTGTTCACCTACAAATATATATATATATATATATATATATATATATATATATATATATATTTTTTTTTTTTTTTTTTTTTTTTTTAAGGGCTGGGGATGTGGCTCAGTGGTTAAGCGCCCCTGGGTTCAATCCCCAGTTCCACCCCCCCCCAAAAAAAGTAAATTACCTTCTTCCTAGTGCCACTCCCTATAGCAGGCAGAGGTTTCCTATGAATATGGAAGCATGTATTGTATTTCATGTATATTGATGGTGTATATTGCTTTACTACTTTTTTTCTCCACTTATTGTGTCTCAGATATCTTTTCATATCAACTCAAACCCATTCATTCTTTTTTTAAAAAAAAAATTTAGTTGTAGATGGACACAATACCTTTATTTTTTATGTATTTATCTTCTTATATGATGCTGAGGATGGAACCCAGTGCCTCCCACATGTTAAGTAAGCGCTCTGCCACGGAGCCTCAACCCCGGCCCCCATTCATCTCTCATTACTTGTAATACCTATCACAGTGCAAATGCTATGCAAATGACAGATGTACTGGATTGTTTAGGGAATGCTGATAAAGAAAAATCCATTTGTACAGGGTAATTTTTTTTTCCCTGAATATTTTTGATTTGTAGTTTGTCAAATCCCTGGAAGCAGAACCTACCCATATAAAGGGCCAATGGTAGTTAGCATTTTACCCATCTGTCATCTGTCTGTCTATCTACCATCTATCTATTTATCATCTATCTGCCAGGTTATGGTCCTTTACTCCTAAACACTTCAGTGTGTATCACCCAAGACTAAGACTGTTCCTAACATAACCATAGTACATTCACCAGCCTCAGAAACTGTAGCATCAACAGAGTGAATTTATCTAACCCTCCCCCGTCTGTTTTCCTACTTGACCCAATGACATCCTTTTTTTTTTTTTAGTTGTTGATAGACCTTTTTTTTTGTATGTCGTGATAAGAATCAAACCCAGTGCCTCACACATGCTAGGCAAGTGCCCTACTGCTCAGCCCCAGCCCAATGACGTCTTATATGTTATTTTATTTCTTTTAGTACAGCATTAAGTCTAAGATCAGGGTCAGGCATTAGATTGAGTTTTTGGTTGTCGTGACTCCTGTCGCCTTTGATCTAGAGCCTCTTGCACTGTCTTCTTTTGTCTTCCATGATACCGACATTATTGGAGGATGTGCTCCCCTGTTTTGAAATAGAACTTTCTCATTTGGAGTGTTTCTACTTTCCCTCCTCATTGAGTTCAGGTTACGCATTCCTGGCCAGAACAGTACCTCAGTGGTACTCTGTCCTTCTCAGGGGTCACATCTGGACGCACACAAAGGCCCTCTGCTCCTTAATGGCAGCCTAAATCTCCATCAATTGTCATCTCCATCATCCAGTGGAGAGGTCATTCGACTTCTCCACTGTAGAGTTACTATTTTGTTCCTTGCAACCAAGAGGCATTCTGTGGGTAGGCCCTTTCACATGGTGCAAATATCCTGCAGCTCAAAAAACAAAAGGATTCCACTTGCTTGGCTGGGGGTGTCTCCAACGGTGGAGCCCTCGCCTAGCCTTTGCAAGGCCCCGGGTTCCATCCCCAAAAACACACGTGCACCCGCACGCACACACAGGCACGCACACACACACACACACACACACACACACACACACACTCCACTGAGACTTAACAACCGCTTGCTGACTCTTGCCTGAGCCACTGTTTCCTTGGATGATTGCAGACGGTGATTTCCCAACTCCAGCTCACCCTGCACTCGGCAAGCAAGCCCCCCCCTTCCCTCTCACCTATCACCAGGCACATGTGGATTCCTACTTTTCAACAGCTCATAATCCATTGCTGTCCTTCATCATTTTGGTGCCTAAATTATACCAGATTTGGACAGTGACAACCCTTCATCCTGACTCCCGAGGCCTTGCTTAGTCATATTGTGTAATCTCTGCTCTAAAGCTTCCGGCCGTGTCCCCTCCCCAGATGAAGGGTCCATTTCCAGCCCTGGCTTCAGGGAACTCTCCCGAAGAAATAGCATGTGGCCCCCGACAGCCTTAGGGTAGGAGGAAGGACCAACCCTGAAAAATCTCTCAGTTAAAGGGTCTCTAGGGAAGCTACCGCGATTGCTGAAGCCTCTGAGGACCAGGAACTGTGTCCTGGAGGAGACCCCGAAAGCAAGCCCAGGCTCTGGGGGAGACCAAGTCCTGGTGGTCAGCAGAGAGGCAGGGCAGGTGACAGCAGGACTCCCGGCCAGTCTGGCTGGATGGGAACCGTCCTTCCACCTCCTTGCTGTGTGACTTTGGCAAGTTGCCTACGGAGTCTGTGCCTCAGCTTTCCCCATCTGTGACGTGGGGATAATGGTGGCACAGCCGTCTGGTGGCACCACAGGCAAGGCGCGTAGGCCAGCGTGGGACACGCGGTGAACTCGGTCGTTAAAATAAAACACAGTGTGTGGACGTGCTGTACAAAGGAAGCCGCAGCCCACGGGGGGGGGTTTGGAAGGAAGTGACAAGTGAACTAGACCAGAAGCAAGCCCAGGAGTCCCAGGCGGACGGGCGACCTCCGGTCACAGAGGCAGCGGCCCTGGTTCCACGAAGGCTTCCTGTTCGCACACTTGCTGTTTTGACTCTGTGTCCCCCCTCCCTGCCCTGTCCCTTCTTGTCTTCCTTGTCCTATGAAGGAATGGGTCCCCTGTCTAAAGGCACCCCACCCATGACACAGCGACAGCATCTCACCACGGACACGACTTTCCTCGGGCTCAGTTAGCCTGATCCTCTGCCCCCTCCCAACCCCACCTCCGCAGACGCTCAGTGTCCTCGCCAGGCCTGGCCTGATCTTCCCCAGGCCTTGGGGAACTGGGGAGCGGGTCCAGTTCCTTGGGAATGAGGAGGCAGCGGGGTCAGGAGCGTGGTCTCTGGAGCCAGATGGCAATGGGCTGGAGTCCCCGCTATGCCAGGACCTGGCTGTGTGGCCTTGAGCAAGTTACTGAAACTCTCTGTGCTCCATCACCTTGCCTGTCCCCCTCCACAGTCTGCCCATCTCTGGGGGAGGCTCCGCCTAAGATGGAGGGCCCGACTGGCGGCGCTCTCGGGTGGCCCCATTTCCTAGCTGCATGTCCTCTGTGGCCTCTTCCTGTCACCACCCGGCTCATTCACATGTCACAGAGAGCAAGAAAAGCACTGTATCACAGCCACGGTGAGCAGCCAGCGAGCAGGGTCCCTCCGGCATCCAGAAGCAGCTGCGGTGGCTTTGGGTGGCTTTAAGGCCCAGACAGGAGGCCGCGGGGCTGCTGCTAAGGAGGGTGAGCAGGGGGTTCTGTCTTCCTCCCCTGGGTGGGGACATGGCGTGCCTTAGCAACCAGAGGGGACACTAACGGGGCTTCTTGAGTCTGTGGCGATCCAGGTGCCCTGGGGACCCCCACTTCCTTAGATTAGGGTGCTCACAGCAGACTGGCTGCAGAGGCTTCCTGTCCCTGTGGTTTGAGATGGGCCATCGCAGCCACTGCCACTGGATGTACCCAGAGCCTTCACCACTGTGGGGGCCCCTGTCGGCCACTCGCTTCAGACTTTCTCCTTCCAGAGGTGAGTGGGGGGGCAGGGCGTCTCCTGGCCAATGTCCCCGTATCTCGTGAGTTCTTGGGGAAGGTGTCCGTCCTCCTGAAGGACGGCAAGGTCAAAAGGATAGTGGCACCAGCAGTGGGTCATGGGTTCTTAGTTCTCCACGGCATTTAATGTTCATGGCAGAACGGGAAAAAGACAGAGCTGTCTCGTCTTTGTACCTTTGGGGGTACATTCCAAGACCCCCAGTGCATACCTGAAGCCACAGAAGTGCCAAACCCTGTGTGTTCTTATGGTTTTCCCCCCTACATAGATAGTTATGGTGAAGTCCAACTGGAATTTTCAGTCTGTAAGAGACTAACACTAAAGAATCATAAACAGAACAATCGTAATAATACGCTGCAGTAAAAGTTGGGGAAATGTGGTCTCTCAAAATATACTATATTCACCCCTCTTGTCACAGAAAACCATAGAAAGTGATGAGATGAAGCAGAAGCCCTAACATGGCGTTAGGTCACTGCGTGAAAGTTACTTAAACACGAGCACAGTGATACCGAGATAGGCTGATAACTGAGATGGCTGCTAGTGACTGATGGGCAGGTAGTGTAGACAGCATGGATACACTGGACCAAGGAATGATTCAATCCGAGGCAGTGGGATGGCCCAAGATTCTGTCATGCTAAGCAGAACAGTGTGCAACTTTAAACTTATGAATGCTTTATTTCTGGATTTGTCCATTTAATACTTTCAAACTACAATAGACAATAGATACCCGAAATCACGAACATGTGCAGATAAGGGATACTACAGCACATCCATTTTCTATTTAATTGCTTGGTCATAGATGACAGGACAGTAATAGATGTCATCAACATGTCAGAGCAGGTAAGGGTCCTGGAGATCGAATTGACCAATTTCAATTTTAGAGGCCCTGGAAGGTTAAGCACCTCTCAAGACTTTGAGAGTGACCAGAGAGAGAGGCAGAACTAGAATCTTTATCCTTGTTGTGAGTCTGAAGTGTTATCTCTGGTTCCAATGGCAGACCTGACGGCAGGAGAGAAATGCCAGAACCTATTTGTAGTCTGATCCTGCTTGTGTCTGAATGTTCCTCACAACACTAGCAATAGGCCTGCAGAGGCTGACTGTCTCCAGGATCCACGATTTCATTCTTCAGTAATAAAATGTCAAATATTAGCTGGACACCCGGCTGTTCAGGGGGGGAAATGCCACATTACCCAGTATGCCCTACAATAAATCATATCCAAGCCTTCTAAGTGGAACACAGAGGAGAGTCGTGAGTACTTTAAAAGACTAGTGCACACCCTTCTCTGTTTTCCTCTTGACCAGGGACTGGAATGCTGACTCAAGGTCTGGAGCTGGAGCAGCCTTCTGTGGCCATGAGAAAGAAGCCACCTGTTGAAAAGGGTAGAACAAAACACAAGGAACACAGAGTTCTGAGAGCCAGCATACCAGACTTGGGTTGCCTATTTACGTGAGAGATAAAGACATTTTTTTTTTTTTTAAAAACAGTTATTTTTCTGATGTGAAAAAATTGCCTTTTGGGAAACTTGACATTCTGTTCTCCCTTATGTGGTTAAAAACTGAATAAAAGTGTCAATCAGAAAAAACAACAACAATAACAATTATTTGGGGTGTTTATCCAGTTTCATTTTTTATTTTTGTAAAATAATGTTCTAAATAACATCAAAAATGAAACAATTTTGAAGGTTTCTTGCAAAACTACTTGGAGAGAAATACAAGGATTTCATTCTATTTACAGATAAGGGTGTATAGAGGCAGCTTCTCCTGTAACACACAAGCAGCCGCTTCCCTTCCTGCCCACCGGTTCCCTTTAAATCACACGCCCCTGGAAGCCACGCCCATTGGTTGGACGCCCAGGGGAAGGTCCCGCCCCTCCTGCTCCTGCATCCCAGCATCCTCTGCTGAACTGTGAGCAGGAGGGGCAGGACCTTCCACTGGCTGCGGGAGGAGGTGGCCTTAAGAGGAGGGTGGGCCAAGGCCTGGTGGGACTGCTGGGGACTGGGGAAGAGGTGAGGGGGCCAGGAAGGACAGTGCACGGGTCCTCAGGCTGTGCACCTGCTGGTTGGTTTCCAGGACACAGGGCACAGCCCAGGACCAGGGGAGAGCAGGAGCAGCAGATGAAATTCCAGGGACTGCACCCCCAGCAGCATGCAGATCACCCTAAGAGAAACAGTCCCTGACTTAGGTCCCCACAGGGAGCCAATGATCAAGGTGATGGCGTCGCTCCCATTTTCTAGATGAGGAGACTGAGGTTCAGAGAGGTCACACAGCTTCCTCAAGAGTTTTCACCAGAGCTGGGATTGGAGCCCCAGTCCATTTGGCTCAAAAGGCAGTGGTTCCTGTTCTCTCAAGAAGAGGAGGAAGAAGAGGGAGCCATTTTCTTGCCAGGGTCGGAGGAGGGCCAGCCTGGTCCCCACATCCCACAAGAACATCCCCGCTCAGGTCTCCGTCATTTCCTCTTTTCTTCTTTGTCTTCAGTTGTAAAGAATGTCTCTCACCAAGTCAGAACCTTCCAGAAGGCATCCTTAGGAATCAGAGGTCTGCTGGCAATAGAACCCTGAGCGTGTGTTAGAGTGACAGTCATCCCTGGGAATTACAGGAGCAAGGAAGACAGAAATCCTAGGCTCTGCCACTTACTGCTGTGTGACCTTGGGCAAGTCGCTTCTCCTCTCTGTTTCCCACCTCCAGGAGGATAGCAACCCTTGCGTCAATCCTTCCCAGAGCAGTAAACGAGGAACCTACAAATTAGTGCAAAACACAGTACTATTATTTTTTATTTACTGGAAGAATAAAAAGGACCTTCATGTATAAAATCCAATCGACTTTAGGTCCACTGTAATACTTGGCAAATGCTGCCTTTTGTGTTTGCTAACATCCTTTTACAAAAAAAGATCATGAGGTCAGAGTGATTCTGAAGCAAAAGGAAATTACTAAGTTTTGGGCTATCCTTGACCTCAAAGCCCCACTTCAGACCATGTTTCCTCTTCTGGCCCAAAATGCATAACCCGTGTCCCACCCCAGGGCCACAGAGGAGTGCAGAGAGGACAGGCGCGCTGTGTCTTGGTCCACACTGCTTTCACTTCCTCCTGGGTGCCCCAGGGCCACAGTGATGGAGAGCCAGCTCTCTGGCACTGAGGGCTGCATTGCCCTTTTACTCAGTACGCGGGAGACTTCAGGCAGAGCGCTCCACGACAAATTTCCTAGCTTCCTGGTGTTAGCCCATCGGTGAGGAATGGTCACTGAGGTCACCTTTGTCCACCCCCCACCCCCACCCCTGCAGCTGGCCGTTGACTTGGGATGAGATTTGGCTGATGCCGTTAGAAAATATTTTAGCACTGAATGAAAATAAAGATGAAGGGCCTCTCTGGAGGGGCAGAAAGGGAGAGACGTGTTTGGAAAGAGGAGACTTGATCTAATTTTGCTCGGTGTCTGACGACAGGCCGTGTTCGGAACACTGCTGTGGGACTCATTTTCTCCTTTGATCTTTTGGATCCATATGGATGGGCTGAGAGGCCATTTGTAGGAAATGACATCCTGGGCACACCTGGCGGAACAAGAGAACTTTCCAGAGAGGGGGACAGCAGACTTATGGAAATGCACAGAACCACAAACTCCTGGGCTTAACTCTTCAGAGTTCCTTCTCCTCCCCAGGTCATGTCAACAGTCTCCCAGGAAGAGTCTCCATTGGGAAGAAGACGGTCAACTTTATTTTCCTGACTTATCTCCTCTTGCTGCCAGATCGGCCCTCCCTGGGCACAGCAGCCACCGGCCTCTTGCCCAATCCCTCCTCCTCCAGGGACCACCCAGCTGCCCCCGTCTCACACTCTGCAAACTGTGAGGCCTGGCCAGGTGAGGGGCTGCACACCTGTAATCCCAGCAGCTCAGGAGGCTGAGGCAGGAGGATGTCCAGTTCAGGGCCAGCCTCAGTAACTTAATGAGGCCCTGCCTCAAAATAAAAAGGGCTGGAGATGTCGCTCAGTGGTTGAACGCCTCTGGGTACAATCCTGGTCCTGTTAAATGAATAAAGAACCAACAAACTGTGGGACCTGTAGGATGATCTGATGCCGGTATATAGTTTTGAAAAAATATTTTTAGGTGAAGGAGGCCGCCAATTCCATTTCAAAGCATCTCTGAGCCTGCAGAGTAGACAATATGAGCAAAGCTCACCCTCCCAAGCTGAAAAAATTTATGGACAAGAAGTTATCATTGAAATTAAATGGTGACAGACCTGTCCAAGGAATATTGAGGGGATTTGATCCCTTCATGAATCTTCTAACAGATGAATGTGTGGAGATGGCAACTAGTGGACAGCAGAACAATATTGGAATGGTGGCGATACGAGGAAACAGTATCATCATGTTAGAAGCCTTAGAACGAGTATAAATAACAGCTGTTCAGCAGAGAAATCCGTGTCCTCCCTCCAGAAGCCCTGTTTATAACTTGAAAATTGGGTCATGTACATTTTCATATTAAGCTTTTTGGTAAATAAACTTCAATAGCAAAAAAAAAAATTTAGTTGTAGATGGGCACAATATTTTTATTTTTTTTTTTATGTGGCTTTGAGGATCAAACCCAGTGCTCCACGTGGGCTAGGCAAGCGCTCTACCACTGAGCCACAACCCCAGCCCCGATGCAGGTACATTTTCAACGTGAATTCTTCCCACTTTCTTACGTCTTGTATCCATAATAAAGTGCCCGCTCCACCTAGTCGCTTCCATCCCTAGCTTTTTAAAATTTTTCTTTTTACTGCTGAGGGTGAAACCCAGGGCCTCGCAAACGCTGGTTGAGCACTCTGCCCCTGAGCTACCTTCCCTACACTTGCCCTTCCCCTTTGGCTTTGACCTTGATCTTGGTTGCCTCCTGCTCCTTACTAGGCCAACCTCGGTCACTCCCCGAGGCTCCAAGATAGGGAATAAACATACCTCACTAGATTTGTGTCCGAATCCCAACTTTCTGTTTTCCAGCTCTGGGTCTTTGTCAAGTTGCTCAGCTTTTCTTAGCGTCAGAGTGTCTTTGAGGTGACTGATGAGAAAACATATGAGATTTAAGGCACGTGAAGTGCTCATTAAGTCGTCCTTTCTACCCCCAAATAGTTCTGGCCTGGAAGGCTCTTTGTCACCGACCACACAAATAGTGTGGCATTATAATCATCATCTTTGGTATGATGACAATTATTATAATTATCAGTAACTTTCATTCGTAGCTTTGAGAAACACAATACCATGTCCCTTTGAGAACCTGCCTTCCGGGGTGGCAGTGTCCTCTCTTTGTCACTTTGTCATACTGGCCCTTGGCGCCCACATCATGCAGCAGGGTCTCCTCAGAAGGGAACTGTCAGGATGCTCAGTGATTCGTGCTCAGCACCAGGAAGCCTGCGCTGGCCTCTTGGGAACCAGAAAAGTACCCACAGAGAAGTTTCTACTTCCCTTCCGCTCAGGGCCCTGCCCAGAAGGGGCGGGAGGGCTGTCTGCGGAGAGTGGCCTTTCAAGACAAGGTGAAGGACAACGAGTGAGAAGGTGGCGCAGGCCCGGGAACTGGGTGGCCGTGCTGTGCCGAGGGGTGGCCTCAACTTCTCTTGGCATCTCTGTCCTTAGCGGTGCTGGGGGTGGGACCCAGGGCCTCACACATCCTGGGCAAGAGCCCTTCGCACAAGCCAGCCCACAGCCACTGCAGTGTGTCCCTGGCAAGCGAAGGCTTCGAGACAGTGGGTAGGAATTTTCAGTGTCACATGAGATCCCATGCTGCCTGCCTAGGTCCCCTTTGCACGTAAAGACAACTTGCAGAACCATGAATTGTCTTCGACCTGCTATCGCAGTCTATGCTAGGGGCCCAGCTGGGAACTGGATGTACTATGAAGATACACTTGATTATGGTTTTTAAGAGTCTACAATGGAAGCTTGTTTTCTGATGTAAGAGTCTGAGCACAAGCTTTTCTGAGCTGCTCAGGGGGCTCCATGAGGTTGGGCACCCCATTTCCTCCTATCTTTCTGCTTTGCTGTTCTCAGCACATAGTCACCCCCTCTGAAGTCAGGTGGCCACTGCAGCTCCCACCAACACGACCGCGTTTCAGGCGGCAGGAGGAAGAAAGGAGCGGAGGCACCTGCTTTCCTTTAAAAGCACCATCCGGATGTTACTTCTTGAGCCTCAGGAGTCTTGTTAGGGGAGTCAGGTCCTAAGCCGACCTGATGAAGATTTGGGCCTACTTTTTTCTGTTGGGGCAAGGTGTCTGTTCTAGAGTCTAAGTCTTTGATCCACTTTCAGTTGAGTTTTTTGCAGGGTGTGAGAGAGAGGGGTTTAGTTTCATTTTGCTGCATGTGGATCTCCAATTTTCCTAGCACCATTTGTTGAAGAGGCTATCTTTTCCCCAGTGAATGATTTTGGCACCTCTGTCCAGTACAACTGTATTTATGTGGATTTGTCTCTGTACCATTGGTCTACCTGTCTGTTTTAGTGCCAATACCATTCCATTTTTGTTACTGTAGCTTTGTAGTATAGTTTAAGGTCTGGTATTGTGATACCTCCTTCTTCACACTTCTACCTAAGGATTGCTTTGGCTATTCTGGGTCTCTTATTTTCTCCAAGTGAATTTCATGATTGATTTTCCTATTTCTATGAATAATGTCATTGGAATTTTAATAGGAATTGCGTTAAATCTGTGTAACACTTTTAGTAGCATGGCCATTTGACAATATGAATTCTGCCTATCGAGGAGCATGGGAGGCCTTTCCATCTTCTAAGGTCGTCTTCAGTTTCTTTCTTTAGTGTTCTGTAGTTTTCACTGCAGAGGTCTTTCACCTCTTTTGTTAGACTGATTCACAAGTTTTGTTTTGTTTTTTAGGCTGTTGTGAATGGGGTAGTTTTCCTATTTTCTCTTTCAGTAGATTCATCACTAATGTATTGGTTTTCTATCCTGCTACTTTGCTGAATTCATTTATTAGTTCTAGAAGTGTACAGGTAGAAGTTTTTGGATCTTCTAAATATAGAATTACTACACAACCAGTGTGATTCTACATCATGTACAACCAGAAGAAGGAGAAATTATACTCTATTTATGTATGATGTGTCAAAGTGCATTCTACTGTCATATGTAACTAACTAGAAGAAATTTTTTAAAAACAGTCTGGGAGTTCTAAACATTGGCCAGAAGGTAGTCACATGGCCACAGCAAGGGAGCCTGGGAAATGTAGTCCTAGGTGGACAGCTGTGAGTCTATTATAGAAGGAGAGAATGGAATATATAGGAGACAGCTAGCACTCTACACAAAAGACCAGGTAAGGGTTGGGATTGTGGCTCAGTGGTAGAGCACTTGCCTAGCATATGTGAGGCACTGGGTTCGATTCTCAGCACCACACACAAATAAATAAATTTTAAAAAAATTTCATCAACAACTAATAAAAATATATTTAAGAAAAAAAAATACCGGGTAAATTAGTGAATCCTCTCAAGTATAAGGACATATGCAGGTGGTAGACTATGAAGACCTATTTTTAGGGGAAGCTTCTTTAACCTTAAATAACATTGTGATACAGAAATAGGCCCAGGGTCCAGATCTGCTGATTTTAAAAAGAAGTCAGAAATCAACATATTTCTTTTTTTAGCATATGGAATCTCCCAATTTTAAAATGTTGGCTCAAAAAAAATTTTTTTTGAATACTGTGAAGGCCAAACCTAATCTCTGGACTGGAAATAACCCAATAACTATGATTTGAGGCACCATATTGGTTTTGATTTGCATAAAGTGCCAATAGAGCTTAAATCTCTGCCTGAAATGCAAAACCTTTGATCCAGAATGAGAACGAAAAGGTAAGCAGGGTAAGTAAAGCGCAGCATTCAAGACAAACCTTTCAAAGTAAGTAATTTGTTTGGCTTGTTACCAGAAACAAAAGAAAATGATGAGTTAGCCATGATCTCACCTTCAGATATTGTCTTTCACTTTCAGGTGTGAAGCCATATTAACCTCTCTCTGGGTCAAAATGACTGAGTCGTTAGTTAATAAGTGAATTGGAGAAAATGCGCTCTGTTTTCATGTGTAAGGTAGAAAGGATACACACAGCAGCCATGAGAACGTGCCACCGCACCTCCTGCTGCAGGGAGCCGGATTGCACCTGATGCCGCCCTTCCAATCCACCACCTCGTCCACCAGGGGACACGTTGTCTGCGAGCTGCTCCCAGCCAACGGCTGAACCCAGAACAAGTCCTCTGGTGGTGGATTTTGGCTCTGGAGCTCCTCAACAGCTTGGCCACCCCTCTCCTGTGATTCTACTGCAGCCCGAGTCTCTTTTCACCCAGCTCCTTCCTCCTCCCTCCTGTCACAGATGTCAGAACTTCTTTCTCCATGATTTCCTGCTTCCTCCTTCTCCGTCTTTCACAAGTTTTTACCTAAGTTGTTGTTTGCACATCTACTATGATTCTGGCATCTGTCTCTCAGTAGACCTCAACTAACTCCTGATGCTAATGGTAACAACAACCCAACAGGAGCCAAGATGTGTCAGGCACTGTAGGTGCGCAAACACTGTTCTGAGTAGAAGTTGATTGATGATGATGATGATGATGATGATGATGAGTGCTTTTATTGAGCATATATTATGTTCCAGGACCACATAGTACAACCTTACTTGAATTGTCTTCACAAAAAATCTCTAAAGTGGATGATGAATGGCTATTTTCCTGATTTTATAGATATGGAACTAGGTTAAATAACTTACTCAAAATTATCTTCTTAGAGGTAGTAGATAGATTCAAACCTGATAAATAAATAACAAAATGGGTATGGGCCTCAGATCTGGAGTCCTTCTTTAGATAAGTGTCAGTTAAATGTAATAATATATGTATTAAACATGTAACATAACAGTGTAACATATTAATTATATTAGATATATCACAATATATCTAATATATGTTATATTATAAGCTGCTAAATATTATTAATATATATTTTATATATTATAATATGTACTATATTACATATGCAACAGATGTGTTATATATTATAGCACATAATATATAACGTATAACAAAATATAAATATATAAATAATGTATTATAAATATAATATATATTATTACATTATAACGTATCTCTATTACAGCCTTTAACTGGCACTTATCTAATGAAAGACTCCAGATCTGAGGCCTGACTCCAGGTCAGTGCCCGTGCTGTTCTTTGGGGTGCTGGGGATTGAACCCGGGACCTCAGAGACGCCAAGCATAGGCACTGCTACCAAACTACACCTCCTGCCCCTCACTTTGTGTTTCCTAAAAACGTGGAGATCGTCAAGTGCTAGCTGCAAATACAAAGCAGAAAGATTTTGTTAAGATGAGAGCTTTCTCAGAGTGGGACTCGATGGCTTTCACTGCTGTGTCCACAGTCCCTCCAGTCCTCTCGGGACACCGTGGGAGTCATGACTGATGTGAAAGCAGAGACCGCTCGCTGGAGGGGGAAAGCCATTGTGCACCATCGTCTTGCACCCCCAGAAGAAGAGGAAAGGAAAGCCATCTCCCAACCCCTCAGCCCAGCTGGTTCTCGGTGCACCCCACGGTGCGCCCTGGTTATCTGGAAGGTACAATCTTTTGAAAGGCAGAACAAGCCGGAGCCTGCAGCCTGAGCCAACCCTGCTTTGGGGCAGGTGTATCCGGTAGAGAAACAAAACACAGCTCTGTGGTTAGGCTGCTGGTGCAGCGGCTCGGCACCCTCACCCATCAGCCTGCCCCGGAGCGGGCCTGACCACACACAGCAATGTGGGGCCCTGGTCGGAACTCCCAGGCCCTTTTGGTTTAGAAGTCCGCGCTGATCTGGACTGAGCAACCTCAGTGGGCCAAGACAGGCCACCCACCGGCCGGGCACTGCCTCGGGCCTGTCCTGAAACCCTGGTGCCACAGACCACCCCGTGTGACTGCAGGAAGACACGCTTCAGGAAGCTGGACCCTGGCTGTCCAGGGGTTAAAAGGGCAAGGCGGGGATCTGGCCACACTCGGAATTGAACAGTGTTTTGAGCCCAGCAAGAATGTAGTAAGCATTCGTCATCAACCCTGCCGTCTGCCTCTGAGCTCCTGAATCCATTTCCATTATTACCCTTTGCACTGGGTTTGGTGAATGGTTGGCAAATTTCACTGAACTTGGAAGTGGAGAAAGGACTGGGGACCACAGTCAAATGTTTCAGGCCCTCTGTTCAATCCTCACAAGGTCCTGCCCTTGCACCACTTTGCAGATGGGAACTCTGAGTCACTAGAACCTGAAGGGAGTCACTGAACTCTGGGGTCTGATAAGTGGTCTCTGGCCGATTCCTCATCCTCTCTTCCACAGACCTCTGGATTTCTGGCATATTATTCTTTTGCATAAGCCACATCCCCAACAGACGTAGTAGTAGAGGAAGAAGAATAGTTAATATTTGTGTGTTAAACATCTTAAATGGTTCACCCCATTTAATGTGTGTTTATGTGCGTGTGTATCACCCCCCCAACAACGAGGAAACACAAAAAGGCCAATTATCAAAGATCATGCAAAGCAAAGAGTTGAGCCCAAGTGGCCTGACCCTCGTGTTCAGACTCAGGCCCAATGCCACCTTTTGAGTCAGACATTCCTGAGTTCAAAGCCAGGCTCCATCTGCTAGTTGACGTGTGACCTTGGGCAAGTCACTTGATCACTGTGGACACTCTTTTATTATTTGTCAAGTGAAGGTGAAAATAATGCTTACCACTTCAGGCTGGAAGGAGGAGAAATTAATGAGGTAAACCATGGCACCCACTTTGCATGGTGCCTAGCTTGCAGAAGGAGCTCAATAAATGGTAGGTACTATTCGCAACATAATCATGGCCCAGAGGACAGTTCCACTCCCTAAAGGCTGTCCTCTTCTCTTTCCTGGTGCTCCCTTCTGTTGAGCTACGCAAGGTCCGTTTCACCTCAGCCTCCCCTCTGCAGCTGCTCTGGGGAGAGGAGCCACAAAACAAGAGAACAACTCTTCCTCCTTCAACAGTCACACTGCACGCAGGGACCCATGGCAGGCCCCACACCCCACCTTCAGATTTGCCAAGGAGTTTGGAACACAGTGACAAAACCCAGGAGGTTGATAGCCTCCCAGAGCTGTTAGTCATAAAAGGTCGGACACCAATTTGGAGGCGTCTGAGAACAAACTGGTGTGCTGCCAGTCACTGTGTGCCTCAGGACATTTCAGAGAGTGAATCCGACATGAGGAGCCAACTAAGAAATGACCACTGTTTGATAAGAACCCTAAAGTTTGCAAAAAAAATTCCTCATATGATAGCTTCAAAACAAGTCTGAGGGTGGGGGACACGGCTCGGTGGCAGAGTACTTGCCTAGCATGCATGAAGCCCTGGGTCTGAACCCAGCACAGATCAGATAGAATCAGACCAGAGGTGATCAAATTGAATCTGCACATTCTTTGACACGGCTCCTAGCCCGCAAAATGAGCTGGATTTACAAAACCCTGTGACTCCCACAGCTACCTCATAAAGGCGTCCTTGTGGGATGCTTGCTGTTCAACCCCGGCTGCCATGGGAGGAGGAAGCCCAGTGACAATGAAGAGGCCAAGTTCAGGTGCTTCAGTCCTCAGCCCCCTAAGTGAGGTCCTAGCAGACCCACAGCCTTTGAGATCACCCCAACCTCAGTCACCAACTAGTCTCACGAGAGACCCTAGGTGAGAAGTGCTTCTTGTGCCCAGTCCACCAAAAATGGCTATTGTGTTATGCCTCCAAATCTGGAGTGATATGCTATATTAAATAACTCCAGTACCACAGTGTATTTCACAAAGGGCTGCTTTTGGCCCACTGACATTTATCATGAGTTTTAAGTCACTGTTGATTTTTGATTCTTGGGAGCTATTAGTTTAGCATTTATTTTCATAAGATATAGCAATTTTTTATATTTAGTTTTTAGTTATAGGTGGACACGGTGTATTTTATTTCTATGTGGTGCTGAAGATTGGACCCAGGGTCTCAGGCATGCCAGGTGAGCACCCTACCTCTGAGCCCCAGCCCCACATGACAATTTTTGTTCGGTGCTGATCAAATAATTTATGATTCCTAGAAATAATTTTTATTCCTTTATTTAAGAATAACTATGTAATAAGAACTGGAAATATTTTTGTCCTTTTTATGTTCCCCTGAGAGAAAGGTGGCTTGGTAGCCTTTCATTGGAATAAGCCTGAGAAATACTCTGTGGCACCCGAAGCCATCGGCAATGGGGAAGCTTTAGAAAGAAGTGACCCTCGAGGTGTCTTAGAAGCAGGACTGTAGCAAATGGACAGCCGAGCCTTGATCCTGGCCACTCCAGCACATCAGCCTGAAAAATAACAGGGCAGAGGTCACCCACGAACACTCAGCCAAATGCCTGGTGTTTTCTAGAAGCTAACGTCGTCCTCCACACTGTGGATGTCAAAACAGACCTCAGCAGCTACCAAATATGGCTATGCACATAGACATTAGCGTATATATCCACACACAAAGGTACATATATGATCACTCTGCAGCTTAGACACATCACTTAACCTCTCTGTGTCTATTTTTCATCTCCAACGTGGAGCTAATAACAACACTGTATTCAAAGGTTATTGAAAACAAGCGAGCTTAGAATAGCCGGAGCAACAGAACAAAGCATGCTCAGTGCACACTAGTTATTATAATAACCCATGCATATAAATGTGCACATAGAAAAGAGACTGCAAGAAATTTAAGAGTCATGGTACTTATCTCTGGGCCACAGGATTATGGATGTCTTTTATTTTCTTATTTATATTCTTTATTTTCAAAACATCCTATTATGAACGTGTACTTTTTCAGAGGGTAGCTGGGTAGGGACAGTGGTGGACCCCAGAGGTGTCCTCACAGTATCTCTGGCTCCAGCCCAGGGCACGGGGGTCACCGGATGTCCTGCAGCATGGAGGGCTGAGGCGGGCCTGCTGGAGCAGGCTGGGGCCAGGTTGGGGAGGACAACCTGCTCAGCCTTTGTCGAGAATGTGAGGGGGGTGACCAGGGAGTGGGGTCCCAGGAGACTGTGCAGATCTGCACTTTGGAAAGAGGCTGCAGCAAGAGAAGGAAGCGCCCTTAACCAGTAGAAAGGCCACAGGGCTTGACCTTGGGCCTAGGTGACCGCAAAGGCCACTGGACCACTCTACTGGTTCTGCCCCTCAGAAACCATTCTCCACTAGGCGGTTTCCCAGCTGTTGACCCCCAGCCATCCTGCAGCCCATGGTCATTACTCACTTCTGGTGACCCACCGCAGTCAGTCACCTGTGCCTCCCATCAGTCCTACTGAATTGGATGCCTAGTTTAAAGATATGGCTGGGATAGTTATTTTTAGATATAGACTTAGCCAAGCCACAGTACTCAGAAATCTGGTCAAACACTGGCCAGGATGTTGCTATGAAGATATTTTAAAGATGAAATTAACATTCAAATCAGTAAAATTTTTGAGTAAAGCCAATGACCCTGCATAATGTGGGTGGGCCTCATCCAATCAGTTGAATACCTCAAAAGAAAAAAGACTGACTCCCCCAGGGAAGAAAATTCTGCTTGCAGACTGCCTCTTGACCTGAGCTGCAACACTGACTCTTCCCTGGCTGTCCAGCCTGCCAGCCTACCCTGCAAATATTGGACTTTCCAGACTCCACAATCACATTCCTTGAAATAAAGTATCTCCAAGGTAAATCGGTATGTAAGTACATAGGTAGATATAGAGATATCCCATTCATTCTGTTTCTCTGGAGGACCCTAATGCACTGATGACCCCATTGTCCAATTAGCTGGAGATGGAGTCAAGAAGGTTGTGGTCTTCATTGGAGTGTCAAAGGCATAGCTCTAACCCAGCAAGGTGGCGCACACCCATGATCCCAGCAACTTGGGAGGCTGAGGCAGGAGGATAGCCAGTTCAAGGTTAGCCTGAGCAACTTAGTGAAACCCTGTCTCAAAATAAAAGGGCCGGGGAAGGGCTAGGGTTGTGGCTGAGGGGTAGAGCGCTTGCCTAGCATGTATGAGGCACTAGGTTCAATCCTCAGCACCACATAAAAATAAATAAATTAAATAAAGGTATTGTGTCCATCTATAACTAAAAACTATTTTTAAAAAGCGAGGGGTACAGGGATGTGGCTCAGTGGATAGAGGGCCCCTAGGTTCAATCCCCAGCATCAAAACATAGCTCTGATTATACCATCATTCTGCTCAAAATCTTCTAGGGCTCATCTGCAGCTTTCCAATAAAGTCCCAGTTACATGGGCTAGCATTCAGGGATCTCTGTGCCTGGATTCTGTCTCCATTCCTGGTCCCTCTTCTGATGACTGGTAAATTAATTATTATGCCTCAGTATTCACTCTCTCTCTCTAACAAGGTTGTACATCCCTGTCCTCCGTCTTGTGATTTGCATCCCCTGCTCCCCCCACACCCTACTGCCCCCACCCACCGGGGAAGAAGTGCAGGTTCCAGCTCCATTGATTTGGGGCAGCCCCCAGAACTTGCCTCGCCCAGTAACGTGGAATCAATCAGACGTGACATGCACCCGTTCCTGCAGAAACTTCAAATGTGGCTTGTCTGTGGCTCCTGGCAAGGCGGGGAGGAGGAGCATAGAACTCTCACTGAGATCTTTGTGCCACTGAAATCATGCAGTAACAGCTGCCGGGTCGGAGGCTTTTCTTGGAAGTCCAGATTTTACGCTCTGCTATAGTGAGAAACTGCTTCATTTTAAGCAGTCAGCAGCCCGTGTTTCTGGAGGGCTTGTTACATCACTTACAATTTGGGATGGTTACAGTATGGATTTTACTCTGTGTTTGGGGGAAAAGTGTCTAAAAATGAAGTCTTGCTTTATTTTTACTGCGGTAGCAAGACAGGAAACTATCCTAATATCGGACACCAGACTCCCAGCTTGACCACGAAGTGTGTTTGTTTGGAACAATAGCTCTATAGGTCCCTGGGGGTAGAACGGGAGACCCTGGGACATGGGAGGAGAGATTGGTAAACCGCCCTACTGCAGAAATAAATAAGAATGTGGGGCGGGGGAGGGGGTGCAGAGGGATAGATCTGAGTAAGAGAAGAGCAGAAAGAGAGAAGGCCAGAGTAAGCAAAGTCTGCACCCCAGCTTGCCAGAAGCAGAGACCTCCAGTTGTCCCCCGACAAAACCTAGCCTCCCCCGTCTTGCATAGTAATAGTATTGTAGCTGCGAACGTCACTGTCCTGTGAAAGACTCCATTGCAGCCACCGTGATCCTGTGGCTCCAGCAGAATGAGAATGTGCCCATCTGCCTCCGTGAAAGAATCCTCGGCCTCCACCCTCCTCCTCTCCTGATGGGCTGCTTGTGCGCATGGCTTGACCCAGCTGCGGCCATGCTCATGAGGACACGGCCTCTCCCAGGGGACAGCAGAGCGCGAAGCTAAAAGGAGCTGTGATCTGAGTGACAGTGGAAGCAGACACCTCTCATTTCAGGACTGGTAGATAGAATGTTACCGATGGGAGCGGAAGAGACGGTATTTTTGTTTCTTTACTGTGGACGAGACCTTAACTGATAGCCCTGGCAGACGTCACTACGGGGATTGTGTGAAAAACAGAGATCAGTCTTACTCTGTTTTTAAAATTTGCCCTTTCTGCACAGCAAATCCTCTATCTTTTGACTTTTGGCAAAATCTGTTGCCAACATCAAGGCCTTGGGCAAGCGAAAGGCTTGGTAGAAACCAGGAAAGAAACTGGTGTCCACAGCTGGCCCAAGACAGCACAGACCAGGGAGAATGCACCCAGGGCGAGGCGCGCACTGGAAGAGCTCCTCAGAGCAGGTGCCCCCAGCAAAGCTCGGGGACACCGGGAGCTCACCTGAGTCAGAGATCAGAGGGCCCGGCCTCCCCACAGGAGGTGAATGAAGGGTGACCCGTTCAACCTGGGCCACCGAGGGCCGGAGAGCTCCCGTGGGCACAGGGACAGGTGATTCCACCAAGAAGGCACAGTTGTCAAGAATACAGAGCTTGCCCCATCAATCCGCGTATGTGCGGGTCCATGTTTGAATCCTGTGTTCTGTGCCATTTTTTTCTACGTGTCCATTTTTAGGCCAACATCACCTCGTCTTGTTAATGTCACTGTGTTGTCAATTTTTAAATCACATAAAATGAGTCCTTCAGTTCTATTCTTTTTAACTTATCTTGGTTATTCCAAGTGCTTTGCATTTCCATATGAAATTTTGTAGTTTGCTTGCCAAAACAAAATACAAACAAAAAACCTCTGCAGATATTTGGCCTGGGATAGCACTGAGTCTGCTGTTCATTATGGGTAGAACTTATCTCTTAATAATATGGAATTTTCTTACGGGTGGGCAAGGAAAGTCTGCCCAATTAATTAATTGAGCCTTCTTTAACTTTCCCATGCTTGTTTTATAGTTTTTTTGGATACAAATTCTTTACATGTTTTTTAAAAATTCCTTTATAATTATATTGTATCCATTTTAAGCTGTTGCAAATAGTAGTTGTTTTTTTCTTTTCTTTCATTATCTGTTTGTTGTCAGTAAAGAGAAAGACATTGGGTTTGGGGGGTGCAGGGAGGAAGAACTGAGAAGTAAAATCAGACTAAGCTTAGGAAACCATGGGTGATCTTAGCGCATGGAAATTCAGCAGAATCGTGGAGCCACAACCCCAATGGGAATGAATCAAAACATGAAAGAGAAATTAGGAAAATGGGGAACATTAGATTTTGAGAAGTATGGTGGAAATGAAAGTGCAAAGTATTTTAGGAAACAGGGTAGAGATGGCTATAGCCAGGGGCGGAAGAAAGGTTCAAGTGTTTTTCAGGTTTTTTTTGTTTGTTTGTTTCCTGAAAAAGGTAGAAAAAGAGATTCAAAGATCTAGAAGCTGAGAAATAAACAACAACAACAACAAAAAAACAACAACAATGAATCCTCATTAATAAAATATATTTTGTTTCCATGTATGTACGAGTTTGTCAGGATGAACCCGTCTACTATGTATTACCATAAAGCTCTAATAAAAAATTACAAAAAAAAAAAAAGAATACAGAGCTTAGAGTCTGCTTGTATGAGTTCCAACTTCTCTCTACCACCTGCGTAACTTCAGGGAAGTAACTTGAACTGCAAGCCTCAGTTTTCTTACCTGTGAATTGGGTATACTAATAGCTACCTCGTAGTGTTGTCAGAGAGAAGTCAAAGGAATAACCTACGTAAACCACTGAGCATGGTACCTGAAATACCATGAGGGATCAATAAAGATTAGCTTTTATTTTATTTTATTTTGGGGGGGTTACTGGGGATTGTATTCAGGGGCACTCGACCACTGAGCCACATCCCCAGCCCTATTTTGTATTTTATTTAGAGACAGGGTCTCACTGAGTTGTTTAGTGCCTTGCTTTTGCTGAGGCTGCCTTTGAACTCACGATCCTCCTGCCTCAGTCTCCTGGGCCACTGGGATGACAGGCATGGGCCACCGCACCCAGCCAGCTTTTATTTTTAATATAACATCAGTTCCTTTCATCCCAATGTTAACATGAAACCCAGGCTGTTATTCAGCCTTAGAGAAAAATCTCCAACTTTAAGACACTTTGGCAAAGTCATGCCTCAGCTGTTCCTCACTTCCCCTGAGGAAGGTCGGAAGGCAGAGGGTTTCACCCTGGCAATGTGACGGGTGGAGGACCAGGTCAGAACTCTACTGCTCAGGTGAGAAACAGAGGAGGTTGGGCCTGTCACAGTGATTTGAGCAACTCTGACCAAACACCACGGACTGGAGGCCTGTCAACAAAGGAAACTTATTCCCCACAGTTCTACACATGATGAGTCCAGGATCAGGGGTCTGGAAGAGTCTTTGCTGGGAAGACCCCACTTTCTGGTTCCTAGACTGTGTCTTCTTGCTGTGTCCTCACATGGTGGGAGGGACAGGGGTCTCTCTGGCACCTCCTTTATTAGGTACATTCATCTGGGCATGGCGGCGCACATCTGTAATCACAGAGACCTGGGAGGCTGAGGCAGCAAGATTGTGAGTTGAGGCCAGCTTGGGCAACCTAGTGAGACCGTGTCTCAAAAGAAAATGAATAAGACTGGGGATATAGCTTTAAAAAAAAAAAGATATAAGGGCATTAATCCCACCATGAGGGTCTGCCCTTGTGACTTAATCCCTTCCCAAACACCCACCCCCTAACCCCATCGCGTTGGGATAAGGATGTCAGCGTGTGAATTTGGAAGGCAGGCAGGGATGTAGCCTTTAGGCCTGGCTATGCCTAGGATGCCCGTTAGTGACAACCAGGAGCAAGACTGGGGCCCCGTCACTCCAGTTCAAGGCATTTTAGCAAAATCATGTTGACAACAAAATTAAAAAAAAAAAATTCACTCAAATTTCAGTGTGTCTTTCTCTCTCAGTAAGTGACCCACAGTCCACTCAGAAACTCAGACCAGAAAGCCACGGATGTCCTCTGCTTCCTCTCTGCCCTCATCCTCTGTGTCTGATGAATGCTTGAGGTCTGTCTAGTTCATCTCTAAAACCACTCTCAAAACCATCCACATCTCTACCGCCACCATCTACTTCCCACCACCACAGCAGCCTCTCAACTGCTGTCCAGTTTTGTCCTCTCATTTTGCTCTCCTCTCAGCAGCCAGAGTGTGAGTGTGAGTGTGAGTGTGAGTGTGAATGTGTGTGATCTTGCTTTTCAGTACTGGCGGTTGAACTCAGGGGTGCTCTACCACATCCCCAGCCCTTTTGATTTTTTTATTTCTAGACAGGGTCTCACTAAGTCGTTGAGGTTGGCCTTGAACTTGCAATCCTCCTGCCTCAGTCTCAGGAGTAGCTCAGATTTCTGGCATGCACCATCACAACTGGCAGTCAAAAAAAATTTTTTTAAAGCCCAAATATAGCTATTCCTGTACTTAATACTGTACCTTCCTGTCCCCACTTAGTACTGTACCTTCCTGTCCCCACTTAGTACTGTACCTTCCTGTCCCCACTTAGTACTGTACCTTCCTGTCCCCACTTAGTACTGTACCTTCCACTGGCTTCCCTCTCCCAGGGTGAGTCCAATCAGCTAGGTGGTCAGCTCAGCTCCTAACCCTCTCTCTGGCTCCCTGAGCACTAATGACAGATTTTTCAGCATCTCTTAGAAGAAGCTTCCTGCCCTTGGATGCTGTTTCTCCACCTGGCGCCATCCCTTCTTCTCTACCTCCCTTCATCTTGCCAGTTTATTCATTTGAAAACACTTTTATCAAGCTCCTATCCTGCGCCAGACACTGTTCTAGCCCACAGAGGTAGCTGATCTTTTCTGTGACCCGTGTTGGCAATCTGGCAAAACCTCTAGGCCTTTGCTCAGGCTGAGGCTTTCTAAATGCATAAAATAAATACAGAAGGTTATAAATGAAACCAAATAGGTTGACATGGTTACCAAAATATTCTAAAATTATGCTACAGTAATATGTTTCATTATAGTTGCATTAAATAACAAGATCTATCAGTGGGTCTAAACAATGTTGTCACTTCATGTTAAAGCAAAATCACATTTTAAGATACCTGTATAACTGCAGGGTGTAACAAAGTCTCAAGTGCGTTGTGTACTATTGTCGTTTATTTCCTACATTCCCAATGAAAGGAAATGCTAAATTTCAGTTAGAGGTAGTAAGGATAAAGATATGATTTTTTTGTTTTTCTATCCAAATTTTAGAACCCAAACTGTATCGGCAGACCCAGAAGCTCCTCAGGATTAGTTCTAGCTGGAGGGAAGGAGCAGGAAAGCAGATTTACCTAGGAGCTGACCTCCTGGGAAAG